GCGGAGAGACTAAATGTTGTATTTTCTTTTGCACATTGAAAATTTAGATTATATCAAATTAAAAAACTTAAAACCCCGAAATCAAATCTTGTAAGAATTTTGATCAGCACGAGTATTTTTTGAATAAAAAAGCTAGATCATAGAACTAAAAAAATTCAGTCGACGTTCCAGCAATCATAGCGACCAAAATAAAAAATGTTTGGGTTTCCTTTCACTCATCCTGTATCTTTGGCATACGCTAAAAAGAATTTTGATCCAAACTGTAAAAAGCGCAAGATTTTTCTCTTCCTCTTATGTAATAGCGATTCAACAAGGAAAGAATTACTAATATAAGTTGCAAGGTTTTTGTTGCAAAACTCATGTATCACTCTAATGACCAGTGAGAAAAAAATTATATTAGGAAGAAAATATTATTGGCACAAGAAAGAACGTATTGTGGCTTCTCTTAGGGCTCGGCACGAGGTACCTTCCGAAAATGCAAAAAACGAAGTTCCCCTTGACTTTCCCAAAAATTTACAAAGTCCCCTTTGACCCTAAAACATAAATGTAAAAATCCTAAAAAAACGAAAAGTCAACCAAAAAACGTGGCCCAAGTTGTTGTTATTTCCGGCCCTAAAAACGATACCCTTTGCTTTTTGTGTCAAAAACTCACCTGTGCTGAGCTTTGGCTCCTCTTCAGAAACCTTAGGATGCTTTGCTTCTTGCTGCTCTAATTTATTGGTTTTCTCCACAACAACTTTCTGTTCAGATTCTTATGAACTTTCTCTGATAAAGGGCAAATCATCTAATATAATTTTCTATGCTCTCCATTCCTAACTCTGAAATGTTGCCTCTTCAAGCTCTAGCCCCGCAATTTCTCATTCTACTGTAACTTCCTGTTCTCACTTCCTTCCGGTACTGTAAGATACAGTAGCAATTCTGCTGTAATGTGCGCGTAACGAATGCTGCATTGGGTTGATGTATGGACCAAATGACAGTAATATAGCAGTAATCTACACGAAGGGTAACTGCTACAGGTTGTTGTGGCTATTCTCCTGTGTTTTTCTGGTTTAAGGGAAATTTGGGGAAAACCTAGATGGCTAGAAATTCCAAGCTATTCCTTTCTTTTCTGAGGAAGTTACAAGAAAAATTTTTTACTTTTGATGTGTCTAATGAGAATTTTCCAATTATCAAAACTCTCCACATACTATTTTGTGTGCAATTTTGATGTCACTTCCACAATATTACCTTCTTTCTCTGCCTCCCCAACAATTTTAAACCTTTTACTGCTGAAAATCCCCATTTATGAGCAATTGTAAAATCACGCTATCTGCTCATTATATGGTCGTGACAGAGAGCAAATGCCATTGAACCTAACGTAATTCTATGCGATCCGCAAAGTTGTTGCGATGGTCAATCACAAAGAGATTAGTGCGTGAACGGTGTGCAATTTACATGAGTTTATGGTCACTAGGGGGAATTCGATGCACATTGTGGGAAATTCTAGTTGATATGGGAAGGGACGGAGGAGTGGGGGCAAGGGAGAAGGGGAGATTTTTGAGCAGGAATAGGTCCAAAATGGTTGCGGAGCCAGGTAGTGTTCGAGTACACTGTCCTGCTAATGTGCAGACGCATTCAAATTTTTATTGGTACCAAAAAAGAAAGGAGTTTCCTCACATATCCACAAAAATATTCACGGCCTAGATTATGTAGTAAATTTTCATAAATTATAACCTAATCTCAGACTCAAGCTTGTTACAAAATAGTAAACATACACTGGAAAATTCCAATTAGCATCCTTTAAATTTGCACACATGCGGCCATTGAAAACTTTTTTGATTGTTTCTCGACAGGTAGATTCTTATCTTGGATATAAACAAAATTCTGCAGTACGCGATATGTAGATTGACCTCCGAATATGTCCACGATCAAAGATTTTATCGCGCTTTTTCTCGCCAAATCCGCTGACCAAGGTAAAAATAAAAGTTTATGTTGTACATATCCAGTCAGCTGATGGTAGTGCACGGTGATTTTTTTTGAGATAATTTATTTTTGAAAGTTGGCATTCCACAGATTTCATCGGACTTTCTCCCGTCGGGTCCGTTAACGAATGCAAAGCTTGGAAGAACGAAAAACTGTAATTTTCATTTGCAGCCAGCTCATAATCGCGCACAATTTCTGAGATTCTTCGGATTGCCCATCTTTCTTCTTAGGCATTTTTTTATGAATTGATATTCGCTGTTTTGCAATATTGCTAAAGATAAAAATACTGTAATTGGTATGAGTGAATCGTACTTTCTACTTACTGTCTTACCTAAAAACTAAGTAAAGAAAAGAGTGTTACGGTTAGCTTTACCGGTGACTGAAGGTTACCAAAGTGACTTATTGGCGAGCATTATGCGTCGTTTTTTCGCCAGCCATTCGATGTCGATCGCGCACAAAAAAGCGAGGTTAACGAGACACTTCGCGATTAAGAAAACCCAACGAGAATAGCATGCGTATCATCCAAAGAACCACTAAGGATAACATTACGCAACAACCCGTGCACGCTTGCAAACCCGCGGGTGAGACTAGTTGAACCCGGCGGTCACCTCGAGAGCGGGGTGACCTTAGCGGTGCGCGAATGTGCTGCGACGTGTGGCGCGTTACGCAAGCGTAGAGATGACCGCAGCTCGACAGGTTATTGCGACCGAAATTTCTTCAATGGCGCTGAATCAGCCTTTTTTATGGGTTGGCTAAATAAACCTAGTCATTCTGAAAAATGCGTCTAATCTAGGACTAAAGAGACCGCTTTGCACACTTTGCTCAAACAAGGTCAAACTTGTACTTTCCTGTTACCAGGTCCAAATAAATTCAAATGAAATAGATGACAAGTATGAACTTGTTAATCAAACGTTCAACATCGTTTAGATAATTTGTGCAAAGCGATTTCGAGTCTTGTATTCTCAGAAAAAATAATTTTTTTTCTAAACGAAACAACTGTGCGTCCTTAGCTCCCTCCCAGCCCCCTCTTACCAAGGGGGGCAGGCGTTATGGAGCAAAGCTAGGCCGCGTTCCCCTGCGGTATATCCTGAGGGCCCTTTGCGTTGCGTCACTTTTAATTGCGCAGGAGTAGCGCTGCTCCTGCTAGCGGATTGAGCCATCCCTTATTACCACGACCTGATATGTTGAAACTGTGATGCAATAAGGAAAACAAAGAAGACGGCAATTTAGAAAATCTAAAAATAAATTTCTAGGGATGAATCAAAGGCTGAATCTGGGATGATGCAATGCTTGATTTGATTTAAAAATGTTTAAGAGAAGTAGAACACGAGAATTAGTAGAGAAAAAGGATAGAAGTTTTCCGTCATGAGTTTACAAGAGAAATTAATTTACTCATCTTTTACTCTCTCTTGGCTTGCTTTGCAGACTTTTCCTCCTCATATTCTGTATTTGCCCTTAAAATGCGTTTATCATTCACATTTTGATCTCTTTATCTATGAAGGGTGAGGAAAATGGCTCAATTCGTCCGGTAGCGCTAGCTCCTGTGCGACTGCAATTAGGAGCGACGCAACGCAAAGGGCCCTCAGGATATACCACAGGCAAATGCGGGGTAGCTTTGCTCCATAACGCGGCGCCGCCTCTTACCAAAATCTTGCGCAAATGGATCAATGCTAAATACCACTTACGCGATACAGGTCGACACTAATCGATACATCTTTTACCAGTTACCGATCTTTGGCAGTAATTTGGCGAAAGACAAACGCATCTCTACCCACAAACACAGAGGCTTTGTTCTGACGTTGGATAGGATAGTTTTAGCGAATATAAATGAGACTAGAGCAAATTAAAAGCAGATGTCAAAATTCACTTTTCAAATCTTCAGCATTATTAATTTCAGCAACTCTGCCTATACTTGGCGCCAATTTTCGATCGCACTGTGCATTTGCACTATAACGCAACTTTTGGATCCTTACGCCAAAGCCAGCTATTAGCTTTCCGTCTTTTCGTCCGTTTTCTTTCCTTTCAATAAAGTTGGTCTTCACTGATTTTTATGACAATTAATTATTGAAAGCGTACGATGACTGTCAAACCCATTCTTTTTTGACAAGTATTTGTCAGATTACGAGGTCCATTATCTCCTTTCTTTCTCTGTAATTATTAGAGGATCCTGTTTGACCCAGTTGTTGAGTACTAATACTTTTACCAACCTCACACCCTTTGACATCACTTTTTTCTTCTCCATAGTATCAAGCGCCTTTATCCTATGTATTCATCGCTTTTTCTAGCCACTTTCAAAAGAACTAGACATAAATGCAGTATGGCATGGCTTTTCTTGCCTCATAGTTGATGAGTCTGCTATGGTCCAGTTTTTCTAGTAGAAAGGTTTGCCAACATACAAGTTCTAAGTTGTTGCTTGGATCAGGTGGAATAGAAGAATGGATCTATTGGGATTGGGCGAGTGAGAGTTTGGGAGAGGATTTCTTGGGGGATTTGAAAACCGGGGAGTGGGAAAAGGACTTTTCTTGAGGATTTCTCCGAGGGGGTTACGAAGTCTTATGTAAAAAAATTTATTTTAACTTTTACAAATATACTCATGGTGCACCAGGAAAAGGGAAAGAAAACAAACCTCCACGACAACAGCCACTCAAACCCCAGAGAGATGGGTGTGATAGGCGAACAGGAGAATTGGAAAAAAAGGAAATAGTAAAAAATATTCTTCAAGGAACAAGTACCACTATCAAACCTTGTAGAGACACTTCCATATCATTGTTACCATCACACAGTAGATGTTGGACTCACTTGGTTGGATAAAATGGAATTGGAACGAGAAGTGATCAAATTTGCAGCCGGCTGATTTTGACCATAAATCGATGTCGCGCCCCGTGGACAGTCCGCGTGCCCCGAGGGAGCTGCGCATCGCCCGTCACTTTTTTTTACGGCATCGTTTTCTCCTTCCTCGTCTTTTGCGCCCCTCGTTTGAATATTCGCACTCTTCTACAAACTCGATTGTTTGCTAGTCCTAGTGTGAATGGTGCTCGATGAGCAGACGCTTTGCCTGGAGGACACAGTACCCTCGGCTACTCGGCCGTGGAATTCCTCCCAAGGCAAACGCCCGTCTCGACGACGTCGACAACTCCCCGGCGTGGGCGGGGTCGAGTCGAGTTTTTCCTGTGCGGCCCCGGCGAGGTCATTAGTGCTACTGACCCACTAGCCTACTAACCTAGGATCTGCTCGAGAGCATGAGCTCTGCCCGGGTGGAACTTTCGTCGACCAGCGTCGCTGTCGGAGCGATCATCGTCAAGAAGGAGGAACCGTCCAGCACCACTGGTCCTACACATGCCGAAGGAGAAGAGAATCAGCGTATGTCTACCTAACAGGAACTTCCTTTTGATAGAAAGCATTCGGTATTGAACTCTTGTAAACAAGATTGGAATAATCCGCTATGGAAGTTTTTTCAAGGTCGGGCAGGAAAAAACGCAGTTTGTATTTGCGTGAACATTGACCACTTTTTTCTCCCATGTGTTTAATTTAAGTGATCAGTTTTTCAAATCCTTTTCTTTACATCCATCAAGCCACATGATAAGTATTAAAGGAGCATTTGTCAAATCTTTTTCTTTACATCCATCAAGTCACATGATAAGTATCAAAAGCGTTTTACACTGTGCTATGGAATAGATTTTTTTGACATAAGGCTCTCTATTTCATGCAAATTTACTCTTGCAACCGCTTCTTTTCTTCACAAAGCTGAATGAAATCCACACAGAAAACATTTTGCCGCCTGATTCTGTATGTACAGACAGTGACGGCAATGTTCGGATTTAAATGTTTCAAGTCTGTCTTAACCCCCTCATGTTGGTAATTTGTGAAGAACGAATGCATGTTCTGTTGATATAAATGTGTTTCACTCAACAATGTCCGTATCTCCTTGTTTTGTCCTTGTCCATGTTTTTGTCCATCGTCCTTTGCATGATAATTCATGTGACAGAACAATAGAAAAAGAAAAAAAATATAAAGAATACCTTCATCTTATAGGGTTTTCAAAACTTTTGTAATGTATGTTATTTTCAGCTCAGATAGAAGTAATACCTTGTAAGGTATGCGGTGACAAATCATCCGGTGTTCACTATGGTGTAATTACGTGCGAGGGATGCAAAGTGAGTTTTTGCGATGACCTTATCTGTATTTGCTGATTCTAAACAGTTTTTCGCACCAAAGATAGCAGAAATGTCGAAAAAAGTGACAGTTTTGAAAGTTTTTGCCCCGTTTGTATGGCAAGTACTGCAAACAACTTTGCGATATTTTTAGGGATTTTTTCGAAGGAGTCAGTCATCGGTCACGAATTACCAATGTCCGCGGCAGAAAAACTGTACAGTCGATAGGTATAGAACACTTTTTATAGCGAGAACGAACATATTGCCGCAACACAGCTGATTCCATTTTTTTTCAAGGGTGAATCGCAATCGCTGTCAATACTGTCGATTGAAAAAGTGTATGGAATTGGGTATGAGCAGAGACGCCGTGAAATTTGGACGGATGAGCAAAAAACAACGAGAGAAGGTCGAGGATGAGGTCTGCATGTATCCTACCCTGTGTGTCTCGTGTGCAAGAATTCGTCGTTGCAAATTTTTTGAAATAGAAAATAAACGACGGCATGAGTGATTTCCGTCATGTAGTGATGACGTTTTGCATGGAGAAAAATCTGAACGTTGTGAATTATTGTCCAGCATCCTTTTTTTCCCGATATTGTACCTATTGAACGATTCTCTCTTCCTATTAGATTGTTGCAAATACAGTCTTATTCTAGGTGCGGTTACATAAACAAATGCAAGAAGCCACTGGTATACCTTACATGTATGGAGAGTACTCTCCTCCATCACAACAGTCGAGCTACGTTGCTCCTGGGTAGGTGTCTGATATCGAATTGCTCACAGATAAAACCATTTGCTATTTTTAAATTTCGTAGTCCCCAAAAATCAACCAAAGCTCTGATTTTTGAATTAGCTAACTCTTCTGGTCTTATTTCTGGCACTTATCCAACTGTAGGCTTCATTTACCGTGTGAAGCACTCGATAAGCCGCTCGGATACTGTAGAGATGCGGTGCGCGTTTTATTACTCGCCTCCTTTGTTTACTCACTACGGTATCACACTGCGCGCGAACGAGAGTGCGCGTGAATACTGTGCTTCGTTCGATATTGACACAATCATTGCGGAGAATTTACCTTGTTGAAGAAGAGTAGGGCAAAAATTCAGTAGCAATAATAATAACTAAACGATGTAAGAAATCTCGAATTTCTATTCAACACAAATTTTCGCATTTTCAGAATAATGTTACATTGCTCTCATCTGTATAAGTGTAATTAAAACTAGATCAAAATAAAAGAAAGCGACAAAGAAACGTCTTGTTATTCTCTTCTTATGTGGCAAAGTACTTGATTCAGTGTGAAAAAAACTACCATCGTATATCTTTTTTACTGCAACTCTCACTGGTTTTGTTTCTTGTTCTTCGTTACTGTGCAGTGACAAGGAACAAGAAACAAAACCAGTGGGAGTTGCAGTGAAAAAGATACACGATGTAGTTTTTTCCACATTGTTACTGCGGAGTAGCGAATTTTAGTCTTACTGGCGGTGTAATCGCTTCTCCGTTACTTTGTTTTAGTTTTATGGTCATTGCTAAGTTGGGGGGGGGGTTGTTTAATGCTGGCGATGGGTGTATTAGCAGGCGAAGAAATGTATGAATTTGCTTGCCAATTTTAGGTACGAAACCGGTTTGTATCCACACTACGCTCAAGGAGCATATGCTCATGCTGTGGCCGCTGCACCCATCAGTTATCCATCGCATTCCTACGGCGTCGCACAACAAGGTAATTGGTTTTTCTACGATCTCTAAGAAAACGCCGCCATGTGTACAATGACCGTTTTCGCACCATGTAAGTTGTTCAGGCAGTACCGTATCTAATTGAGGTACTGTCCCAGCCAGCAACGGTGGTTTTCCATCACCGCAGCTCTCCTCGGCAGCTGAGGAGGATACGGCGGCAAAAATCGTGGCTGCCTTCGAAACTACGCATACACAAATGCGAAACTTGAATCCAAATCCGACGATTGTGGACGTGAACAGATTTGCCTCAATAGTTAGTTTCTTTCTGGCTATGACAATCTACTCCTTGCGCTTACAGTCACAATAATGATACAATTTTAGGACTTCCCAAATCGAGTGGGTATTTGGCGGCAATTTGCTGCTGATCTCACCACTGTCATACAGGCCATTATCGAATTTGCGAAAATGATTGATGGGTTCATGCGACTCGGACAAGAAGAACAGATTCATTTGTTGAAAGGCAAGCTGTTTTAGGGTAATTTGCAACTGGCATATTGACAAACTTTTTTAGGTGGTGTTTTTGAACTGGCGATTGTCGAGCTATCATCTCGCTATTCGCCCGAAACTCAAACGTTATCTATGGATAACATTGTCCTGCCATTACACAATCTCAACATCACAGATCAGATCGAGGTGAGTTAGAAGTAGCTGTGGAGTGATACAAGCAATTTTTATTGTTTTGTGTGACTCATTAGCTGACTCAGACTAGCAGCGCAGATAGCCGCGAAGCTCCAAAGTCTTTCAACTTTTTTTCATTTGATCGCATCGAGAAGTAGATTTCGAATGTATAGCAAGTTTCAGTTTCGGCGTGGTTTTCATGGAACGTTACCAGCTCCCAGGTTTCAAAAAATAACTAATTCTTCACTTTTCAGGTCCGTTTCGTGCAGGAATTCCACCAGTGTCTGCACGATTTGGCAGTGTGCCAGTTGACCTCATCCGAGGTTGCTTTGCTTTGCGCAGTTTTGCTTCTGGAACCAGCATCTACTGAACAAGCCACTTGCGAACGTCTTCGCACCGTTCTGGCGCAGTCGTTGGCTGCCCGAGTCGGTGGTGACGCTCAAAGGGTCTGGGATACGTTACCCAGGTTGAAGCAGACGGCACATCTTCATCTGATCCTGCTAGGACAGCTGCGGGCGCAGTTCCCAGCCGAAACCGAGGCTGGTCTACCAGCTCTTTACAAGGAACTGTTCTCAATCGATCCATAGTGATTCCCCTTTCATATTATTCCTTCATACCAGTGATACATGATGTTCTCATTTTGGTAATGTGACCGATTTTTATTGCATTCGTATACATTCTTCAGCATTTTATCGATCGAGATTTGGTGGTAGTAAGTGATTGTCGATCTTTTTCAACAAATCTTTCCTCCGACATGCTGCTTTCTACTTATATAGCTCGTTTATAGTCTTATCGATCCAGAATTCGAACGTGTCTTCCAACATTCCATGAAGAGCGTGCGTCGTTGACCGTTAGCACTGCCCGTACGTTTTCTAGTGAAATTTGCAGTCTTTTATGCATCGATGATATTAGGGAACCTATGCACTGTCTTCTTCTTCTTCAAGATATCGATTGTGTTGGCATTTACGCCATTTACACGGGTTGCTGTTACTTAGCCTAAGTAAGTGTTTCTTCCTTGCCTTTATCCCTGCACGCCTTATTATATTTATTCGGGACACATTAGGGCCTTGAAGCCTTATGGGATCATCTATCCCTTCCCGAAAATCAGTCTCAAACAAGTGCTTTATCATTGTGTTGCAAGTGTATATGTATCTTGCTTGCCAAATATTCACATTTCACATTCCAGTAGGCATTTGCAATCCTTCTATCTCTTTTTCACTGTGTTCATTTACGCAAAATGTTCCTAATAAGTTCCTGATCATCCTTGTATGTACAAAATGATTCTGTGCGCACGTCTTTGATCGATGTTGAATCGTCTAATGTGTATAATTTATCTCTTTACTGACATTTCTTTTCAAATGCCGTGGGATAATAGGTAAACAGCGATACTATTCTGCAGTTGTTCTTTTAGAAATTTGAGAGATCAAACCGTCTTCCTTCAGCATTACTACAGGGACTGTCAGTAAAGCTATAAATTCTGAATCACGTCTTCGCCTTGTCCTGCCTTTTCCAACCATTCCGAGGTAACTGACTTGCAATATATTGACTGTGACTTCATTTTGGTTGTCGTATGTTATATATGTTTTTATCTGTATGAAGATTTCTGTGTTCAGAGCTTTTACTTTTTTGCGGTTCACTTCCTCCAGAGACGTTTTTGCTTATAACGAATTAGAAGCAAAATACAGCTGGTTATCCTTTTCTTTTCTTCTTTAGAGTGGGGTGGGAGTGAGAGACTTGATTAGTTTTGCTGATATCCTCGAGTCATTTGTAATTTTCTATGCGTATTGCAGACCATGCGCGCTAGTCGACGAGTTGTAAAATTAGGAGCTGCCCCTCCAGTGATTACTCCTTGTTTCCATACTCATTTGGTTCGGTTGGGTATGATAAGTTAGAAGTACTCAGTTCTACAGTTTTACGCCAGAAAAACCTTTTACTGAGGAGTTACCAGCAAGGGTGTCGTTAGTTGTCGCGTGTAGTGTGTAGGCTCACATATAAGTTACAAGGGACTAAACGATACGTTTATAAAATGGCTGATATGCATAACAAGTGTTCTGTATCGGATAGAGAGATCTCTGTTTCTCAAGAGGAGTTATCGAATATCCTCGAATGACCCTCAAGTAGAGGTATTGTGCTAGTCAGTGGATGCGGCGTTTGTAAGTGTGGATTTACGGGTGTGCGGTAAGGTACGACGACGCAACGGGGAGAGCGAGAGCTATTGAATGTGCGACTGGGTCCGAGTGGTGTGGAGGTCAGCTGGACACCGGCTGGCACCCACACATTGCATGACCTTGTTAGTACGAACATCCTTTCACCCATCGCCGATCATCATCCATGGACATGGTAAGCAAGCTCCTCCACCGTAGACCGAAGGGATTTCGTGGATTAGCCATAGGTTGAGCTAATCCCATCATAGTGGGCAAAGTCTTTACTAGCACTCATTTTATCTCAAAGTAACGGTTGAACGCCGCTCTTAATAAGATAAGGATTACCCCAACGGCAAAATCTGCCATGATTTACGAGGAGTCTTCTCTTTTGGCATAGTGCCAGTGGCTATTGTCCTGTTGGCAAAGTCTTATGGCATGCATTGGTGCATTGTATCGCACGATCTCTTCTCGATTATCGCTGCTGGTGAGAGATGCTCTTGGCGATCGTAAATGATCTCATGCATGCGGCATGGGATTCTCGGTGCATCATGTTGGGAAAAGGGTTTGATTTTACAGGAAAACTAAGTTGGATATAACTTGTCTTCCTGTGCGCATGCTTATTCGAGGAAAAGTTGCTAAATTGTTTGCTTTCTAAGCATGCAGTCCTACAGTAATTGTTTGAATGACTTTCCAGGTAAATGCGTTATACCTGGAAAGTCATTCAGATTGAGGTTAGGTATCTCATAACTACAGTTTCAATAGACGCTTTTGACACTAAAGATCATTGTCTTCATCAGCACTGATAGCCATTTCCAAGGAATAATACCTGTTTATTATGTCTCGATGGTGAAGTCTAGGAGACAAATAGACATGTCGGTAGCAGCCATAGCTTCGTAGTCTCCGTCTGAAACAGCTATCACGGAATGTGCGTTGACCTTGAACTGAAGGCTTAATATCTATAAATTTGTTGCTATCGGTCAGATGTTGTTGTTCTTTCAAGAGGTGATTCTAAAATAATTGACAAAAAAGTTCGTGAGTTATTCAGATGAAATCCAATAACTTTCCTAATCGTTAACCTATATTTGAGATTTTCCATTTCTGAGTTATTAGGTTGTCCCAAAAGTAAAGCGTATTTCTGAATAAAACAACTATACCTACAACTTGTTTTCCTAGCAGACTTAGGGTACCATTCGATAGAGCGAAGCAAGCTCTACAAAATAATTACCAAATCCGCAGAAGTCATAACCTAGGTAAAATTTGAAGCCAAAATCAAAAAAATTTACCCGAAAATTGGATTTTTGCGAAAAAGAGTCATACGGTCTTCAAATTGGTCATCATACAAAAGATACATAGTAGTGTCCATAAATGCGTTTGCTGAAATTTTTCCGCACATAAATCGAGAAAAAAAAGTCCAAGAATAGCAAACTCCGCTCCAGCTCCTCCCACATATGTAATTGTATGCTGCTAGCCTAAGTAAGTATAAGTAGAAATCTCATTTTTGTATGTGCACTGGTATTCGAGAGATGCCAATTCCAACATAGAAACCCGAAAAAAGTGACATTTTTGCACTTTCGGACTATCTTCATTTCGTGATTTTGAACCGCAAGGATAATCTCTCAAATGCACTTTGGGTTATGATTATGTGTCCACTAAAAATGACCAAGCTGTGGGTCCGTAGGAATTTTCTGGATGGAAATCCGATTTTTAAATTATTTGAAGTTTTTTTTGCTTCGAATTTCAACTGGATTACGGCCTACGGATCTTTGGCGGTCATTTTCTAGAGCTTTCTTCGCTTTATCGAGTAATGCCCTAAGTCTTCTATGATAACAAAAATAGTCTGATTTCTTCAAAAATACGGTTTGCTTTTGGGACAACCTAATGAAAGCCCTCATTTCTGACCATCCGTATGCGAAAACTTGGAAAATTTTTGGGTTATGCCTCCAATCTTGAATAGATTTTGTTAGCGCGAATAAATTCGCGAAAACACCTTCAAATTAGTGAAAAAGAGTTCGGGTTTCAAGCAGAATCATTTAGTATAGCTTTATTTCAACTCTACTCATTTCCACTGGTCTCAATTCGCAATTTCTTTTTTGAAAATAGGTTGCAAACATTCTGAAAGTAGCTTACATGAATTGTAAAAATTTACTTTCACTTGTTAATAATTGGGGTAATTTATGAATTTTTGTTAAAGATTCAGATTAGCCTTGTAAAATTACTTCGTAGGGTCCCCTCAACTTCCGAAATTTCGAGGATAGACCCGCTGAAATCTTGGCAAAAGACGCGAAGATTTTTCTGCAAGTAGAGTTACAATTCTGCTTCTGTTCACAGATGTTAATTCAGCATGCTTAAATAGCACGGGTTCTCGTGCAAAAACCAGTCACGAATAAAAAGATAGAAAAGATGGTCCGCGGATATGGTTGCAACTTTTTATCGTGGTCTAGAGTCATAGGTTTGTTTAACTACACCTGTGTTAGCATTTTTGATAATGTAAAAGTTTATTCCTCAATTTTATGGATGCTGTGAAAAGATTATTGGGTGTATCGTAGCTGGTGTTTCTTCTAGGATCATGCCATAATAGATTGCTCTGGATTTCACTGTCTCTCAATCTTGAACATTACAGATGTTCTTTTACTGAGGACATCGTGTAGTAAAACAGCACAAAAAATGCTGAAGAGCGTCAAGGCATCGGTGCGATATACGACGTTCTCACCTTTCTAGCAAACCATTAGGTTGTCCCAATAAATTAATTCCTTTTTCGTTGATTCAAGCTGTTTTTGTTTTCCTAACAGTAAGGTGCCATTCGATAGAGCCGAGCAAGCTCTACAAAAGACCATCAAAGATCCACTCTTAATCCAGGTAAAATTTGAAGCCAAAAATCAAATTTTTCCAGCTACCCTTATAATCGGAACTCCTTCCAGAAAATTCCTACGGACCTCCAACTTGGTCATTATAAAATAGACACATAGTAGTACCGGTGAATGTATTAGTTGGATTTTTTTCCAGGGCTCAAAATTGGCAAATCGAAGAAGCCCAGGAATGCAAAAATGTCATTTTTTTGGTTTTTTTAAATGTTATTTTGGTGTTTCTCGGTCAGCAGGGCGCTAGAGATAAAATTCTAAGGTTATACTACTAAGGCTTGTAGTATGCAACATATGTGTGAGGAGTGGGGGGCGGATTTTGCCATTTTTGAAGTATCTTCTTTTCTCGCTTTCTATATGCGGGAAAAATCCAGTAAAAGCATGTTTGAGTACCACTATGTATCTACTGTATAATTACCAAGTCGGAGGTTCGTAAATTTTTTTCGCAAAATCCAATTTTCAGTGATAAATTTTCTTCAATTTTGGCTCCAAACTTTACTTGATTACGACTTAGACAATCTTTGGCGGTCTTGTAAAGATTGTTCCGCTTCAAATGACACCTAAACTCTCCTAAGAAAACAAAACAGCACGATTTATCTAGACAATGAGTATACTTTTGAATAACCTAATACATGAAAGCTTTGTCTGCAGTTATTAAAAAATGGTTGCAAACATTATTTCTTGGAGCTTGCTTGGTGAATCAGATTCATCCGGTTTCAGTTTGTGATATTGAGTCTATGACCGAACACATGGATATTTCAGAATGTTCAAAATTTCTATACATCCCATTCTTATGTGCTTATAACCACTTGATCAGGCGACCGACCTCACTGTCCATCTATAGTTCACTCGTAACTCTGCAACTCTACTTTAAGATGTGCTGTAATTACGTTTTGAACAGTGGCGTATCGAGAGAAGAGCCCCCTCCCCCTCTCACGACCCCGAGAATGGTGCGAGATTTTTTTTGCACGAGTTGAGGCAATCAAAGCATATATTGTGCAAGTAACTTGTTTTCACATTTAGACAGTTGAAATGATTTTGAAATTTTTCAAACAAGTTGATCTTCTAAAAAAGATTTTTGGACTGTGCCTGCCACCATGTTCCTATTTCCAAACTTTTGGGATCGTCCCATTTTTAGAAGCCTTCATCTTTTGTGGAGGGCATGGCTAAGTCCTCCTGTGCGAGAAATTTGTTGCCCTTTTTCCGCAAAAACCTCACGGCCGATTGGTCTTGAATAGTTTGGCTACCAGCATGTCAGATGACCTGGAATTTGCGGTTCTGTAGTAATACTACCGCACCGAATCTCTCCAGACAATTTTACATCACGACTAGAGCACAAAAACCCTGTGCAGAAATACTTATAAAAAAGAAGCAAAAAAGCTGTATCTCTCGAAATACGTTAAGTGTAAAAATGTTGGAATACTTTCAATTAGATTAAAAAAAGTATCATTGGAATTGCTACGTCTTGGGATTTGAAGTCAGGTAGAGTGAATCAGTCTTGGTTCAGAGTATTGTATTCCAAACAAGAAATTGAAGATTAGAACGATAAGAAAGGGATTTATCGAATCATTCCATAATGGTGAAAAATAGAAAAAAGGCTATTTGAAAACGAGAAGGAAGAAATTTGACATACATTGAGAAGAAAGATGAATTTATTAGAATCACATTCCATTTTATAATAATGAACTATATCATACACAACAAAAACCAACAAGCTATAACCACTGAGGATGTTGTTACAAATTAAAAGTCCCCGCATTCAGTAAAGATATCACATCACAGAAAGATAATGGTAAGAAATTGTAGATGTACATTTAACCAGACCTAACGCCGATTTTAGGGAATGTTTGGGCAAGAATTTGGCGAATTTAGTGGTTTAGAGTTCTGTATGACCTGGCTCCTCTTTACTCGCCATCATGAACACTCCTTCAGCAGCTTTCCATTTTCCGTAGCTTGTTAGCCCATCTGTTCCCACGACCTGCAAGGTGAGCATTTCATAAAATAATGTAGAAAAACAATTCAGCAACCTCTCTTTGTCCGCTGATAGGCCTGCCAAACTGCTGGCCTGACAATGCCAAATACACTCCAGTATCCATATGTTTGAATTTCACTGGCTAAAAGAGCTGATATTAATTATGATGTAGAGTACGTGTAGCCAGGCTCTCATACCTCATTTTCAAGCCATACATCAGTATCACATACAAGCTGCCAATTATCCCCAGTATCACTCTGAGAATCATCACCAAAGCATGAGATTTCCTAAAAAAGCCTGATGTATGAATTGCACTTTCTGTACCGTTTGTAGGCGCTGCCACATCATCCGCGGATAGAGATGCAAAAGTTGCGATCCTAGATGTGTCATCGCTATTTTTCTCGATATACTCGCTACAAGGCACTGAAGCGCCTGCTACAGGTGAAGCACGCATTGCGGACTATGTGATAGTCCGCAATGCGTGCCTCACCTGTAGCGGGGCGCTCAAGTGTGTGCCATACGTGGGAGACATAGATATAGATAGAACATGCAGGAGCACGAATACCACCTCTGTGGATTACTGGTCCTTTGGCACACCTTAGTGCACGATGAGGACCAATAGTCCGCTCAAGCAGCGCCCATCGGCAGGAATCGTTCCTCTACCCGTTACTAAGACAAGAGAAGGACAGCTCATATGATTCATTCAAGGCCGAAAAATCCAGCTTTCATATCTAACTCAAACGTACGCTTAGAGCAACCTTGTTCTCCAAACAGTTTGTTGGTTTCCCGCCCGAAAAAAGTACAGTTTGGGCGAGAATCCGCCGACTAGGCTGAATCTTAGGACAACTACAGCCGCTCATAGGACAAGTATAGTGGCTACAGCAAAAAAAAAGCACATGTTTCCCGACGCCAACAAAGAAACTCGAAAACAAACTGAGGGATTCAAAAGTACCTGATAATGCTTCGACAACGGTGCAGTAAAGTGATGAGTATGAAGGAAGCATCCGGTTGTGAGATGCTTCAAACGGAGTTTCTCACCACACTTCATCGGCTCTCCTCGCTTACAAGTTTCCTTCAGACCTGAAAATTCTTGAAGTATTTCGTTCCCCAAATTCTCTCGCCTTTATATTAATCAACCTGGGAAAATCTGCCAATGGGAGTTGACGTCATCGGAGGCCGTCACAGCTGTGACCGATTGTTGGCCGCTGCCGCTACCATACTTTACTTCATGCGAATGCAATCGAGCAGCTTCGTTGATGTTCATAAGTTTCAACACTGTCCCACATGTGACCTCATCGTCAGCGAATGCCAGTGTCATACATGAGGATATGACCAAGATGGCGATCCTGCTCATTGGCCCTAGATTGCTTACACCTTTCATCTTTGGTAACAAGATGGAACAACAGCAACATGAAACAAATCAGACACTATTTACCTACATCTTCAGTTGAATGACAGTGAGAATTAAAGAGACTGGAGGTTGCCTACTGAATTTGAAGCAGAGAGGGTGTATATTGGGACAGAAACGTAGAACTTGCTGTGGTTCGTAAAAAGTTCAAAGCTTCCAAGAAGCTCACGAATTTTTTTTGCACAATTTCTCAACATCGGATTAATTGACCGATATAAGCGTGTTCCGTAAAATATGTCATATGTAAAGTGCAGGTACAAAACTATGGATTTTCATTCTGAAACAGGGTGGTTTGAACTTGTCTGAAATTGAGGCATATATGATATGCTACAATTCTGATAAGGTGACTGTAACAGTCAAGAAGTAGAGTAATTCAACTTGATTGGTTAGTTTTAAGCCCACGTATAACTGGCAGATTTCCAAAATCTTTTGCGCCACAGTGGCGTCAGCATAGAATCTATGACGTCAATTTTGTTTTTAAAATTTCTGCAATGCAGAATTTGCGCATCTTTTCGTCATCTCCATTATTTTGTTGGCAGTGAAGCAATTTTATCCACAGCAATGCTCTCTTGCTGTTTTCTTTTGTTAATCATTATCTATAGATGACTTATAATAAGCGGCTTAATCTGAAGTTGTGTGGAGTTTGTCCGTTACGAAATTACAGTGAGGAATGATTTACGATACTAAACATCATGTGAGGTTAAGATAGCGAGTATGGTTCATTTTTAACTACGGCTCACTTTGCAATAAAGAGAACAATGATTTGAGAGACAAGCTCTCAGAAAGTGAGTTTACTACGGTTCACGATGCCAGTGCGAACCTCTGCGAAGCAGAGGTGAAGCACTGGTAGATCAATAAAGGCTCTACTACTATACCATTTTTTTGCGAGCACTTCATCTTCATTTTTCCCATTTTCGTATCATATAACTTTGATGAAAGCGCTACACATATTCTTCACTGTGCGTTGGCTAGATAGCTGGATTCTTGTGCTTTTCGATACTTTGATGATCTTTATCCAAATTTGTAGATCATTTCTATCTTTGGTAGAACTCGTTACTCTTTCTTTGGATAGAGTATTTGTTTATCTAAAGAACAAACATGGATAAAATTCAGGGTCAACATGTCGTCAGCTCTAGCAGCGGCTATAACTGCGATTACTCCACCGAATGTGTCCTATATACAAATGGACTCACTTGTGATCATGAAAATTGTTAAACATGTGGATAGCGAGCTTTATGCTGGGATGAGCGAGGTAGATTGGTTTTTTCTATAACTCTCCTGGCAGGCTCATAATTGTGTTATCCTGTTCTTTGACTGAATTCGTTTTGTTAAGGTAGCCGGAGAGGCTTGTCAAGGACTGCTTACTGGCTTGGTCTCAGTTGAGAAGGATGATAGCCGTTTGGAAATCACAAATTGTTTCCCTACAGCAAGAGCAGAACCCGTACTAGAGAGCGACGAAAATGCGGCACAGGTTAATTTGGACTGACCGTTTATATGAATCCTGCTTATTTTCTTATTTCAATCCCATTTTTGTGTCTGCAGTTACGGTAACATTTCGCTGATGCCCTTAACTTGTCCTGTTAGTGTCAACCTAATCTACAAAAAGAACGCGTTTTTTGGTCAGGCCAATTGAAATAATCGGCCGCAACGACATGATTAGATTTTAGCAGTGTAGGAGCATTTATTGTGTAGGATAGGAAAGCTAATCGAAATTTTGGTAAAGTCTCTCTTACCAGCTTCTGTCGAAAATCTCATCATAAAAAGGACTCTAAGCAAACTGTTGAGTTCGTTTGAAGTCACCTTTTTAATGAGTGACTAGTAACTAGAGGATAGGGGCAGTATTGTGCATAAAAAGTTCCTTTTGGTAAAAAGATGACTACTAGTGTAAAATTAAGCTATTCTTCTCACTTCTTTTGTTTGTCTCTTCAACTTTCCGTTGTGGATGCGTTTTTGATTTTTGTGCCTTTAGGCTAACCAAATGTACGAGGAACTCAAGCAGCAAGAAATGTTGGACATGCTCCGAAAATTTAGGTGAATGTTTCAGAAAACTATTTTTCTAGCACAATATTCGACTATCTGTCAATTGGACAGTGTATCATCGCATGATAGGTTCAACTTTCAGAAATATGAATATTGACTATGAGCTTGTCGGTTTCTATCAGGCTCATCCATTTGGTGCCTGTTTTTCTCAGGATCTCGTTGATTCGATGTTCGATTACCAAAGCAATGGACCAGATGGTGTAGTAATAATTTATGGTTAGTTTTAGTCATTTTCTTCGATTTGCATCTCCTGAACTTTTCACTTTGTAGATCCCGTAAAGACAAGACAAGGACAGCTATGTCTTCGTGCTTATCGGTTATCCGTTCCTGCACTCGAGCTCTGCGCCAAAAACGATTGGTCCCCCGACGCGTGAGTGACATCAGGGCATAATTTTTCTCTTTTTTGTGTGTGACGAATGGCAAGCATCGAAAAGTTTGCCCGTAAGGCTATATGTCTTCAGGGTCAAGGCAGCAAACTTGACATATCAGTCTATGTTTGAAGAACTACCTATCGTTATCAAAAGCAGCCATCTTGTTAATGTTATGATGGCAGAATTGTCGCTAGCGCCTACACGTATTGCTGACCGGTTTTCCACCCACTTGGAGCTAGGTTCCCGAAGGTATGAGTGTTATGAAGTGAGCACTATAACACCCTGAATAATCAATGTGTCAGGTCATTAGAGAAAAGCGTCCGTGCAATGATGGCCAACATTGATGAGTTAAACAAGTCTATTGCCGCATACGGCAAGTATGTTAACGACAAGCAGCGACACGATAATATGATCTATAATTTGACGCAAAAACGAGTGAGTTATGTTTTCCTTAGTACTACAATGTTGTTGATTTTTCCACTTTTGCTGTGCAAGTGACCCGTATGACCCTTCAGCAAGCGGAGAATGAGCAGCGGTTAGCAAGAGGTGAACCTCCTTTATCGATGGATGATATTCGAAAGCAGAAGGAACCACAACTTCAAACGCGAAATGGAATGCTTGATGCGATGTTGAGCAGTTGTGAGACACAGGCATTGGCTGATTTCTGCGTTAAGGTGAGAAATTTTTTTACCATGTTAGTAATTATACAATCCACAGTTGTGCTCGTAAAATTGAGCAAGATGTAACCACTTTCAGGTAACTGGAGAGAACATTGCCAAATTGTTCCTTGCTGAAGCGATTGCCGATGACAAAGGAACTACGAAAGATCGCTCACAAAGTCTGCTTACTCGCTAATCCTTACCATCCCACTATTTCTCAATCCTGTTGATTAATTTCTCTACGGTAACTGAGTTATTTCGAATTGGTGATGAGTGATGATAGTCCATCCTATCTGCTTCTCCTTTCTTACACAATTTTTTAGTTAAATGTTCTATTTTTTGTTGGTATGATTTGTTGTCATACAATGCATTCTGTGCATTGGCAATACGTTGTTTTGTTGGAAAATTTAAATAAAATCCTTCAAAAGCACCCATGTTTTGAAATATTAAGCTTACTGCGCGTGCTATTTGGAGTTTATGAAGTTGCATTTTTTCTATTACTTTCACTATATAAAATCGGTTTTGTTCCACAAGTAAGGAAGACAGCATAAGCTCATAAAGCTAAGAGAGTCTCAACTGCTGCATGTGAATCGCCTGAGAAGGAATGACATTTGTATTGTGAAGGCCACATTTTGTCTACCATGGACGTAGATTGCTTTTGTCGGATAGGTGACTAGCGTCGCTGCTGAACTCCATTCTTACTTTTCCTTTCTGAGATTCGACAAATTTCGAAACTGTCGCTTGTCCTACATATTTGAAATCGCCAGCCCATATATCATGAATAGCTCCGATGGGTGCTCCATGACTGACAAGCAGGATGTCACCTTAACTGGCAAATTATGCGTACATAGAAAATGATTAAGGATAATCCTTACCATCATATTTTTCCAATATCCGATTCAAAGTGGTTTTCACTCGAGGTATACAGGCATCGTCACCGTACCTCTCTTTTGGCAAAGTATGCTTAATAGTTATAAACGTTACGTAACCAAACGAGTTCCACGACTGGTTCTCACCTTAGAGAAAACCGAAATGTAATCAGTGTCTACCAAAGGGAATTTCTCTTTCAATTTTTCAGGTTCCCAGAAACCTGGTGGGTTTTCACACATGTATAAACATTCGCACAGTCCTGGTTCTGGCTAAAAAAATATATTGAAAATTTTCAGGTGAGCATGAAAGAATCACTTACTTTTATAGGAAGGTTTTTGTCTCCAACAATGATTGTAGCCGTTTCGATAGTTCTATCATAAGGAGAAGCGAAGACATGACTTAGATTTATCTTTCCAAATCTAAAAAGCTACTTCTAAAAACCTTGCGAAAACGTGATCCCATCATTCGATGTCATACTATATCTTTGATTGAAAAATAAGGAGATGAGAAATGGATAGAGGAAGATATTTGATACAAGAGAAAACAAAGAATCTGCAAACCGTTTACACTCGTACAGAAATCGTACACTAGGAAAAACCCGACATTTCCATTAAAGGGGCATCAGTAGAAATATGAGATGAACAGTTTCGAAACGGAAATAGTGCAATAAAGATTGTATGTAAGCTACGATGAAGAAAAAATTGTTGAGAAATGTTTAGCATCTATAAAGTAACCTTTGAATAAATGGAGCTCGAAATGTAACCAAGCGTACATGAAAAATCGGGGATAAAATAGGAAGACCAACGTGAAACGAAAAGCACAGCTTTTTACTCGAAAGCAAATGTTAACGTATTGCAATGACTACTACAAAAAATCAAGCAGTGCAAATGAGAGACTTGTGCGAGTGAGAATTGTTTAGATTGATCTTTCCAATAACAATATTGATGGTGTCAAATCTCTGGATTTTTGACCTCTCATGTTATCCATATAAAACGAACCTGACTGCGACTTCTTTCGCTTGTTTACGGCCTCGTTCACTCAGCATACTATTGTCACTAGCGAGATCACTTCCACCCGGTAAGCTCCGCCATTTTCTGTTTACATTGTCTTCCCTAAATATGTCTTTATATTTGAAGTAAAATCAGCTGTAGCAATATATCACCTCTCTGCATGTCTTACAACCCATATCGTTCGCGGATACGACATTTTGCTCGTGCAGATATTTCTGGCAGAGCACGTATCGGCAGCCTGCAATCAGTGAGCTAACGACCGTCTTCACCCACTCTAGCAGACACACGCAAACAGATAACGCGAAATTGACATTAAGAATCAATCATCACCAACAATCATTACCGAAATTGTTCGACACATCGTTAATTGATAGAGAAAAGTGAACTTGATGTGTAGTTTAGATCCTAGCATGCGAATGCCAGTCTGAACATCACTTCAGCATGAGAATAACGGAATTCGAACAGAACGGACCAGTTTTTGCAATTCTTTATCAACGAGTCATGACTCGATTTTTTTCCATCTCTGCATAAAAGCGCAGCAAGACTCAAGGAAAGGCATGGGAAGTAACCATAACCAAAATTCAGAAAAGAAATATGCAGTCAAATTTATTGGGTACATGAGAAGGTAACGAAACAAAAAACAAAGTACAAAGATCTTTCATACGACCCGTTGAGTTTTACTTCCTTGCGAGTTCTGGATTGAACATCGAGTTGTACTTCTGCTTAGGTGCAGCAGCTGCAGCTTTCGTGGGATTCAGTAGTTGAAGGGTACGATGTCTCTGTAAAAGAAAAATTTAACGTTCAGCCGTGTTCCCGCCTCGAGTATAAGTTGAATTATGCGCTAACCTCTGCTCTTTCCCGTATCAGACGTTCTTCCCGCAAAGCAGCCAGTCTATTTCTTTTCTCCAGCTCCATTTCGACTTTATCATCAACGCTGTCTTGAGTTGCATGATGGTGATGGTGGTGGTGATGATGCTTCTTTTTCTTTTCTTTCTTTTTCTTCTTTTTTCTTCTCTTATCAGAATCTAAAAGTATCCAAGCTTAGGATTATTTGCAACGACGTCTCCATCGTTTCTATAGATAAAAAATACAAAAAAAACAATTGCAACACTAATAAGCGAATAACTTTTAAAACATTGTTGTGGAATAATTCACCACTGGTATCTGAACTCTCACTGCTACTGCTTCTCCTTTTTCGTTTCTTTTTCAACTTATGCTTTTGGTCATCTTTATCCTTTGCAACTGTTGACAGAGCACTCGGCAGACTTGGTTTTTCCTGCAAAAAAAAATCAATTTTTGAGACAGTTTCTGATGCGACTACCTTACTTTGACTTCCTCAGCTCTGGCGTACGGTCGTGATATCTTCGTATACCATTCTTGTTCTTTACCCAGTTCCTTTGTCCCTTCAGCAAATGCCTTTTGGATACCCATTTTTGAGTCCCATTCCTGAATAATGGCACTGACACAATTTACGACAACGAAATTGTAAAAAAAAAATACAGGAATTCCGAATCAAAAATGATTAAGTTCTAGCTAGCTGGATACCCACCGCTTGTTCTTTGCGTTTTTCCTCTTCATATTCTTTGTTTCCTTGACCAAAATTTTGAAGTTCAGCTTGCTCTAAATCCTGCAAAAGACGCTAGTGAAGCTAGCGCAGTCCTTCAGCCACAGAATGCATACATCAAGATGAACACCAGACAAGAAAGTGAAATCACAATGACTAGGTATCAAAGACTAATTTTTGGAAAGATTATGCATGCGATAGTGACGAGCAACATCGCAGTGACGATGTGTCATCTGCGTCTGAACGCCGCCCCAAAGTGCAAAAAACGTGTGCAAATAGCACTGGACCGGTTGCACTCTGGGGACAATTCAAAAGATAATGCCGGAAATTTAAGTATTGCGAAATTATTATCGAAAACTTCCTAATGACCGCAACGACCCAAAAATCTATGATAAAACTCGAAACCAACCTGAAACAGATTTACGTGCCCAGAAGAGCTGGCTATAGTTGCTTCCGCTGTCCCTCGCAATGCGAAAGGCTCCAAGTTTGCATCTCTGAATTATCGCAAATTTCAACGGTGCTAACCACACTTTACCACGTTACCTCTTGGCAGCCTGTGCTCGCAGGGCTTCCAAACGTCTTTCATTCTCCGCTTTAATCGCCCTGTCCAAACGATCTTGCTCTTCCTGTGCAGCCTTTGCCTCATCTCGTCTAACTCGGGCAATATTCTCTTTTGTGCGAACATGCCACTTCTTTTGGGGTAGAATATTCATTTTCTATAATCAATGCATTCAAAAACTTCAAGGAGCAGATCAGATGGTTTCGAAAAGCAAAGTAGAAGCTCGTATCATGTAAGTCACGATCGCAGGCAATGCACAGAACGCGGCTGCGTAATTCCACGTCTCTCCATACACTTTGGACCACGCCTCCTCGCGAAAATTTTCTATTTGCGACCGCACCAACGCAATCCGCTACTTTGTGCACTGCGTACATTTGCAGCACGTATACATGTCAATAAAATGGAGTATAGTACATCAACCGCAATGTAAATGCTAAAAAAAATTCTTGACATGTTTCAAAAAATAATTTATACTCGAATATCGTTTATTATTACGCATTTTTTCACAAAGAAAATAAGGCATACGGCAGGTATTACAAACACACCTATAACATCATAACATAAGGCGAGTTTATCACAGTGACGTAAAATAAGTATAAAAACCTCCCGATATGACAATACATGTTTGTTGCACAACCACTGACTACAGGGGACCAAGAAGGGACGTAAAGTAAATTGGTATATTGCAATAATGAGTTCATTTCTGTATGGAAAAATTGAACAAAACAAGATCTCACTGCTAAAGCAAAATACTATTATATTTCTATAACCATTCATGCAATATAGACGTACTATGCAGTCATTGTCGGTATGTACAGTGTACTGACGGCATAGCTGAGTCGGACTTTATTCATGTGCCTCATTGTCTCGTGAGCAAATACATGCTCTCGATGCCGAAGAGGTCGGACTTGGTCTTGGACGGAAAGACGGTAGGCTCGTGATGCATTTATCTAGAAAAAAAGCAAGATAAATTATAAAAAAGGCGAATGAGAGGGGTTCATTAGGCAATGTTAATGCGAGATGAAGATAAGAAAGAGGAAGCTTCTAAAATAAAAACAATTGTAAATAATCGAGTTTGGAAAGAAACTTGACATAAGCAACATACCACAGTAAGCCGAACGAGTTCTGCAAGCTCTTCGCTTCCAACAAGGGCACCATTGTGAAGTGGTCCAAATTCTAATGCACTGACGGTTTCAACCCTTACGCGATAGCTCTGAAGGGACCATGAGTACATAAGTTTACAACAAGAATTTTGTTAGTTCAAATTTGAAACTCAACCAAAAAGAAAAGAGATAAGATAAGCTACCATACCTCTTCACTTGCTCGTTCCAGCACAATCAACACATCACCAAACTTCGTCGCCATTGTCTCTCTTCGATATGGTTTCGAGTGCTCAGACCAAACAATATGAACCTTAAATCAACTTTCAAAACCGCTACTACACAACAATCAACTGCGGTAATTACTTCATCGTTTCCTATATGCTTCCATTTTTGTGTCACATCACCGGACAAATAGGTGCTGACGTGGAAAATCAGCTCGGTATCAGGTGTTGCGTAGTAGGGTGCAATCGTATCGTATGGTAATCCACCAGGATAGCCTTCATGTCCTTTTCCAATGCAAACCTGCAGTGGATAGCATGCGAAATATAAAATTGATTACATGAAGCATCAAAACAAGATGGACCATATACAAAAAATTTAAACGACTTACTGGCCATCCAAGTTCACTGACAAAACGCTCAAAGCTTGGTGATGCTTTAGTGTTCGAAAGAATAGACTGTTTATCTTCCTGACCTTCGGCTACATAGATGACAGCCACCTAGCAATGTTCCTGTCTTTGTGTATGTGTTTGCTGAAGACAATTTATTAACGAACCTTATGCACTTCTCTGGCGCTTGTTTGATCGAGATGTTTGAGATCTCGTGCAAAGTTCGGCGGCACTTCCGCGAGATCCGTGATACAATTAATACTGGTGGAGAATGCTCGCCATTCGTGCAACCTAGACAAGTTATCTGCTTTCGGTAAATAGCGGATCCTATGTACGAAGTTCACTACTTGGTGATAGCTGGTTTGTTAGTCGTTCGCGGCATTGGCTTCAACGGTTGGGGCTGTCTACGGCTACTCTCGAGGATATCTAACCACTCAGGAGGGCATTTGGTGTTCATTGTGTTATTAGGACGAGGAAGTGCATCAAATGGATCATCCATAGTTCCAAGTATGCCCACTGAGTCTCGAGCTGTAATTTGCCAAGTTTGACTGTGATATCTATTAACTTTCAGAAGAAGGACTAAAAACTCAAGTGTGACTTTAGTGCGTATACACCCAAAAAAAGGAATTACCTGCTCGGCGACCTCGTTGCGATTCTTTCTGTAACCAAGTGTTTACGTTACGACACTCTTTTCGCTCAGACTTATGTGGTTCAAAAATCCAACAATGCCTTCCAACCACGGTGCGACAAGTGACTTCCACATTTGGATCCTTGTTTGCGCTAGAATAATACCATACTTTACTGGCAACCAAACGACTGCCACTTACGAAATGATTGCGCTGTTTTTCAGTACGAACACTTGCTGCTCATTAGCCTTTGATGGCGGAGATTCAACAGAATTCCACTTGGCAACGTTGAATCCTGGCAGAGGGAACTGACTTTCCATGGTCACCAAAGCTCCTTGAACTGGTATGTTGAAAACACGTTGAGTTGGGCGTGAAAACGTACCTTCCAGCAGCTTTTGGTTGTCTATCAGAAATGTTTTAGAGATCTGAGGCAAGTCACTCTTCAATGAATGAGCTAATGCTAGTGAAGCAATGGTCCACTGTATCTCCGTTCGCAGACGTTCATCCCTTAGTGATGGTATAGTTCGAAGAACAGCTAGAAGGAAGAAGAATCTGGCTGAAGAGGAACTAAATTATGGATATAAAGTTACCCTGCAGCGTTGCTGGATTTATGGAAATTCTGAAGAGTGATTCCATGCATGAACACAGCACTGGTAGCAGAGTTGGACCACATCGATGTGTTTGAAGAATGTTAAACATCTGCAACAGAGTTGCCAATGAACTGGGATATCTATATGAAAAAGAAGAATTTGGACTAATTTATCAACTATGATAAGGCAGAAAGCTGTCTAAAAAAGTCTAATCTACCTTAGCCAACAAATCCGAATCACCTCGCTGGATCACCAGCATACACAACGCATTGACGCATAACAACGCATGAGTGAGAGAGATCTCGCCAAGAGCAAGCTGAATTGTAATGATGAAATGAAGGAGATAGAGATGCGTATATGTATATAATGGGAGTTCCTACTTCCTTCAGCAGCAGTTGCTCTGCAGGAGCATTCGATGTACTGAGAAGGGCAAGGACTTTCAGTGTGTGAGCATTTGGAGGATTTTGTGCGATCATAGTTGGAAGTGCATGGACGAGATGCTGGGATAGCACCTTGAGATGTCTTGGTGACATCGCAACGATGTGTGGAAGTACCTAAAAGAAAAAACGATATTATCCGTAGCAGCCCACTAGGCTTCAGCAGATTAGAGACTCACATGTGGATCTCCAGCTTTAATGAGGCGAATGAATGCAAGAAGTATGTGTGCTTGTAAAACTGAAGACGGCTGCCGACTAGAATTCAAGACTGCTCCTAATGAGGCTATGCAATTCGGAAGAAGATTCGCAGGCGTTTGGACAAGCCGTGATGCAATCCAATGTGCTAGCGGATCCAGATTTGCCTGAAGCAATAGGGTTTATTAGTGAAAGTTTGGAGCTTGTAAGATGACAGTTTAAACAACGAAAATATAGGCTACTGCGGTAATTACAATCATAAAATAAAGCTACCAAAACCAAACACTGGTAAAGTCAGAGAACATACCGACAGCAAATTATTTATCGTGTTAGATAAAGTTTCCACAGCGATCAGGGCATTTGCTGAGCTAACGGAATGTGGACCTAGAACGCACATGAAGTGGCGCCATACTTGCAGCCATATCATGGGATTTCCATTCCATGTCTGCAGATTCAAAGATGACAAAAAGGGAGCATTTTTGAAACAGCCTACCGGTACAGCGCTGGTGATATCGTCACTTTCCAAGAACACATTATTATCATTACTGTGTTCGGTATCAAGAGAAGTCTCCTCGCCCGCTTCGTTTTCCGATGTCACTTCAGCCTTCTTGGTCGGGGCTGAGTCTCGGTTCTGCAATATTGGCAAAAATCATCAAAATTAACTTACTGATAGAGCAAAGACAGATTCTAAGCTCACTGCTTTATCCAGCTCCTCTTGCGAAAAAATGTCAACATGAGCAAGGTGAAGTATCAGCGCACGCGTGACGCTGTAGGAGATCTCAAAGCAAAAACAATAGTGAAAGTATCAGAACACAGATGTGCAAACTTACTCGAGACCATTGCTGTGCCATTTGAATCCATATTCCATGAAGGAAGACATTGCTCACCTCATCCCAAATTTTATCATCAATATCGATATGACGCACTGCCTGTATGATTCACAGTTGTGACTGCTACATGTATATGTATAAAATTCGCAAACCTTGATCATCACTATATTTGACAACACTGTCGCTGCAATTGCTGATGACATTTCTTGCGAGTATTTGTCTGAATGTGAGCATATCTTCACAGCGGACTGACATAAACGATACATCAGTTCTGACCTATAAATCAGACATTTTCAAAACACCATTTATAACCATCCAAGACTCACCACACTCTTACAGAAAGCGGACGTGGTAGATTGAGTCGTTGAGCCGCGAGATCACGACAAGCACGAAGTATAGAGTTAGATGTCGTTATGGCGGACTGAAGACGATCGCCCGGTTGAGCCAAATATGGCGATTGGAAAAATGACAAAAGCATATTGATGAGAAGAAGTGACGATGTCTCCACTGGCACCTATATGGAAATATGCTAATAATCAGATTTGATATTCTGATGGCGTAGAACCACCTCGTTGCTGGCTACAAATGGAGGAATTTCATATTGCAGTAACCACGCGGAAAGAGTTGTGACGACCTGAATTCCATGCAAAATATAAATGACTTTCGAAGATACTCAACCGGATACCTTTTGTATAACATTACTGCATGCAAGAGGAAGAGTCATTGCTTCTCTCATCAAGCTCAACGCCATGTTCGTGGCCCTGTGCGAGGCAAATAAAGCATCATGATACAGTAGCACACCTATATGGCGTTGTTCTGCTGGTAGCTGCTGAACTGCCGCTAGATTGTTCACCCAGCGAATCAACCAGTATCTAAAGAGACAAGGTCATGCTAAGAATCGAAAAATTCCGACTTACCGAGCGATGACTATGGGATCTGCAGTTTCAAGTGCTTCTGTCGTATCATCGGCTCCCTCCCAGCCTCCAAAGATATCCACTCCATTGGTTTCCAAATCAGAAAAGCATTCGGCAATGTAGAGGTTGATAACCCTGAAACCGATTTTTCTGAGTTTGGGAGTAAGCAAGGCTCCAAACACCTGTCAATTATGAAGTTAGCACACTGAAATCGTTTTTTCTCATCGCTCCATTCAATCCTCGATGTTTCATGGGTGCAGTATCCAAGAAATTTATCTAAGTACACCTAAAAATCGCCCGTAAAGTAATCTATCCAAATGATTGAGGAAAATTACTTGAAGCTTCTGCGCCTTTTCTTTAGCCGATAGTGGACCTGTTCCCGGCAGTGTTGGTGAACCCATGCTGCGGTCCGACCAATGAACGGTCCCTGAATAAGGAGAATATCGTTAGGAAGATGATGATCGAAAGAAATGCTTGCCAGAGGAATGGCAGTACTGCTGCAATACAGTCTCTGTATCTTGACCATCTCGCAGAGGAAAATATGGCAGAAGACATTGAAACACACGATCGAGATCTTCAGTGGCCTCAAAAGAAGATAAGAGATTACATAAGAGTGAAAAAGATGCTTCACCAAAGCAATTGTGACGAATGATAGATGTATGGATTCCACGAAAAAATTAGGTACAAAGACTATACAGAAAAAAACAACGTCTAGAAAGCTTACCTTTCCGTAGATACTGAGGCTTTGATAGAATATCAAAAATAATCTGATCGCGATTTTACGAATCGCTAGCAGATTCCTAGGATATATGGCTTTCTTCAATAGCGCTTCTATAGCATGCCGCTGCCAACCTATGGAGTCATTATGAACTTACGCGTTTTTTGCAAAAAAGATACGACATACCGCTACCAACAAGTTCTGGGGCGTAACACAAAATTTGCTCAAGAGTCCAAAGACCGCTTTCTCCTTCGACAGCACCTTGAGGATTAGCGACGTTATCAGCTAGCAAAAGTAACTCGTCCACTAGGTGGAAAGTTTCAAAACTGTGTTCTTCCATGAGCTGCCTTTTCTCCTTGAAAAATACATCCATACATTACAGCACTGAGAAAAAAAAAAAGAAAATTAGGCATACCTGAGTTGACATTTGATCCAAGAGAATCTTGAGATGTTTAACGCGACTGACGCTATCCCTGCAATCAGAAAAGCGTTGCAGATTAACATAAACCCAAATGTGAAGACTAAGCAATGCTAGCTCTCAAGTACAATGCCAAAATCCAACAGTTTCAGGATCAGATGAAGTGTGCTAAATTCTAAAGTATGAAATGAATTTTCCTCAACATACCTTGACATATCCGTGAATCTTTGCATACTCCCCGTCAGATCTGACGACTTTGCCTTTCGAGCAAACATCTTCGAATGATGTTGATACACCGACTAAGAAAAGAAGTGTAACGAACACCAGATTCCCACAAAATCTCACGATTGAAAGAGTGAAAATTACTAATATCGACGGTTTGCGACCATTATATAATCAACAGAAACTTCATTAATATCTTTATTTACTAGATATATACATGAGGAAGAGAAAGACGATGAGAAAAGCGGAATGCTCCGTACGCAAAAGTTAGAATATCGTAAATAAACAATAACAACGTTGCTAAGTCTCTTAGAATAAAATCTGTACCGGTCAACTTAAGAATTTTAGCTGTGAAAAAAAAACTGTTTTGAGATGCACTGAAAGAGTGCTTAATGAAATTTGCACAATAACTGTCCTTGAAAATCAAATCACGACACGTTTTCTCTGATGTCTATCGGAGGGAAGATAGACTGACAGATCTTCACAGCAGGTGGTACTTTTCACAATCAACGATCAAATCACATAATATCAAAATACGACATCGCGGGCTAGAAACATCAAAGGCTACTGAAGTTGCTCTAGTCACCTCATCGGGACATCAGAAACGCATAACGCCGTGATGGGTTTCGTATGGCCGTCATATTTCATTACCATTTGTCCAGAGTCCAAGTCCCACAACTTGACCCTATTGTCGGCACCACCAGTAAACAGCAACCTGAGTCCTTATTTTTTTTTGAAGCGAAAGGCTTGAAATTATATGCTACCTGGAATCACATGTGAAAGCTGAATTCCAATTCCAGTCACATCCGGCATCTAAGCAGGACTTCTGGACAGAATCAAGTGAGTCCAAGATATGGAACATATTATCAGCGCCAGTAGTTACTAGAGTACGTCCATCTGGTGAATAACTGCAATGAAGCTGAGAATGCATGAGTGATGCAAGACAAGATAACAAAAAGATAACAAAGATTACGGTAGGAAAAAAGGAAACCGACCGACAACTCAAACCATAAGACTTGTGAACAAGACGTTTGCCTGTGTCAGGTAACCTGAGCCTTGCCATTGTTTCGGTCGTCCTTTCGATATAACTCTAAAAGCAATCATGCATTGAGAAGTTTTTTCAATATTTAGTGATGACCAGTTTTTGAGCCCATTCGTCCGCTCCGTTACTGAGATCCCAAACAATCAGATAGCCTGTAAACTAGTACTATGGTTTGATATTGATTTTCTAAAGAAGTCCTAAACTATCACCTCTGTTGGTGATGCCAGCAAGCATATTAGCTGAAGGATGAATGGCAAGATTAGTGACAAATTCCTGATAAGAGAGAGGAGGCATAGGAAGTTGCATGTGACCATCACGTCGCAAGTCCCATACATACACTTGCCCTGAATAAGTAATTTCAAGTTAGCTTTTTCAAAATCGGAGAAAATTTGCGCATTTAAATGACCTGCTTGATCTGCAATGAAAAGTTCCACTTGATTGCCATGGATAACAACGCTTGTCACAGGATCCAGATTCTGCATAAAACTATTTTCGAAGATGATTCAAAGAAATTTTACAGATGATAATGATCAGGAGAACTTACATCGAACACTCGCTGACAGACTAACTGATTTACTCTCATTTCGTAAACTCGGCATGAATGATCTTCTCCTCCAGTAAACATCCATCTACTTTGAGCCTAGAATATATAGCATATCAGATGCACTGTGTAAAAACACTGGCAGATACAGTCGAAGCGCTCGATTCTCAAAAGAGCTGCGAACTCTCACACCAAAACAGGCCAGGCGAAAAAACAAGTTTCGTGCGAAAAATTCCGCTGAGGAAAGCGATAGCATGCGTCTGTCAAGCAGTGACTTCAGCATGCTTCAAACAGGTCTGTGCACAACATCAATTATGCCGAGTATAGCGCCCCTGTGCCAGAATGACAGCATGTGAACTAGAGTAGCTCACCTCAAACCCAATGGCTGTCACATTTTTCATGATCTGCTCGAAGCACACAATAGGACTGATATGATTAGGTGGCTTCAACGATGTCATGTCGTATATTCGCACTTTTTGAAAGCCAGCAACAGCTAGCTGATATCCATTGGGAGTAAAGGCCATGGCATTAACCTGAGTAGTAAGTTCAAACAGGGGATATCATGGGAGCGATTTCCAGTAACTACCTGTGAGTCGGAGTGCGGAATAGTCGTGACATGACGACCTGAACCGACATCCCATACCCGTACGGTTTGATCGTACGATGCAGAAGCCATCAGGCTGTGAACTTCTGCCATAATCGCCTCCAAGCAAATTGTATATAAGTCCTTGTCGATGTTTTTCTTTTCGTATAAATCCCCAGAGGAAACTCTTCATCATTTCCACCAACCCACTCTTTTCAATGGTATATACAGGGATTTTCAATCTGAGTGTCACGGTCGACATGGTTCACTCCCTCGAGAGCCGCCTCGCTTGGTCTCAAGGGGTACACTACCGCACCCGATAACGCGAAGGCCTTAGCGGATGCGGCATTGTGCCACGTGAGAGGCCCATGCGAGGTGGCTCGCAAGGACCTGAGCCACGTCGACCGTGACACTCAGATTGAAAGCCCCTGTAACTTGCCCTAATCGTAAACAGCGTCACTAGAGAAACATAATGTGATTCTGGAGTGAGTACGGGAATATGTGACATGGAAATAGTATAGATGAAGTACTTTGATCCCGTTGGTGAAACGATAACGCTGCATCCGCCTTGCTCACTAAATTATTTTCTTTTTGAACTTCGACAATACCATGAGTTTGAAAAAATACTCTGATTGCGACAATACCACGAGTTTGAAAATTTGGTTGTTTCTCGATAAAGGCTATGAGGCTAACTGCATAGGCTCCAAAAAGTATTCAGAATCGGCAGAGGCTGTCTCAAACGAAGGGCAGAATCAACGAATTTGTTATGCAACATGTTTGGAGTCAACTCATTAGTCATACCTTCGTATCTCCCTAGTTTTGACCATGTTACTTTTTATTCGCAAATAGTTCAGATATGTAACGTATGAACGGCTTGCACGTGCACACCATGAATCGTTCAACATTTACTGCTGACATTTTTAGCATAGATATGGTATGATCACATTCGTTTACGGTATAACCTTATACGGGACCAGTTTAATGTACAAATAATCTATCGTAAAACATTTCAAAACACAAAGTTGTGCCGATATGAGAACATGGAAGCGAAACATTTGTGCGAAGATGCGTAAGCGGAGCGAACAGGTATAAAGTGAAGAGCTGGAGCGAATGAATACCGCTGCCAACAAGGAAGTGATGTTTACAAAAGGCATCGAGGGTAACGAGATATTAATATTTTAAGTGATTCCCAACAATGGGAGTGAACCGGAACCCATACGGTTTGTAAGAGCACAACATTGCACAGTGAATAAATAGGGTTAATGGAAGTGATGACGGGAATTGATATATAACGAGGTAAATGTGAAAAGAATGCATGATTACACACTTCCAATCTGTGAAAATAAATCCTCAAAAGAAACAGATAAAGCAGTGAACGGTCAGAAAATAAAAGGCAATATTATCAATCGCAACGCAACATCTTGCAAATAATACATAAAAATTTACAAATTGATGAGCTCATCTGACAATGAAAGCAAAATTAATTAATGCTTCCAGAAAGGCTACTGGATGGCTGGTGGCGGATCTTCGACGATACGCGAGAGATGGGATTTGATCCATGTGATGCCATCACTCGTTGAAGGAGATTAACCCATTGGTTGCATTCCTCACGTGTCAACGCCATAAGAAGCCATTCCCGAACAACACCGGTGTCTAGAAGAGGTGAGAACTATTTAAGAGTAGTATTTCTCAGATCTTTTTAGATTAAAGTGGATTAACAAGCAGCGCTGCAAGCATAAAGAATACAGCTTTTCAAAAAAACATGTTTCTGGACTCACATTTACAAGCAGATAACTGCGAGGAGTTTATGTGATCCTTGTGAATCTTCAGTCGGCAATCTGAAGAGTTAGATAACTTTTTTCTTGACAACCACAACATTAGAAAACAGAAATAGGTAAGCTTGTGGGCTGACATACTTTTGCATTCATAAGCTGGAGCTGGTCGCAAAAGACCAGAGAGGTTCTTATGGCAGATGTCACAGTAAGTGCTCACGTGGAATGTAAGCTCTTGGAAGTCGTGGTTTTTCCAGGCCTCCTGAAAATTTTTTTGGATGAACAAATTTTTGACTATGGGAAAATGAATGATATTACATCTTTCTGTGACATTGATGCAATGCTCAAGTCATTTGTTGAAGCATTTCGACTTGTGGAACCATTATCACGATCGTCAAACATAATCTAAACTAAGAGGTTTATTTGGTGATTGACATAACATTAATCTAAAGGGGACTGATGCGGAAATGAATCACAAAATCAAGAAAAAGCTTACGTGGAATATTCTGCGAATTTGCTCAGCATCAGCAACGCGAACATCAGCTGCCGTAACGAGGCGAACGTGGCATAATTGACTGAAAAAATAGTGTAAGGATAGTGAAAGTGAGGAACTTGAAATTACAGGAAAAAACACCATAGCTTCTCACCGTGTGTCGATAGACATCACTGCAGCTGAATGAGGCTTCTCATCTGGGAAAAGTTGGAATGCCACATGATTGAGCACAGCATAGTATTGTACCCACTAAACAGCATTAGCAGACTTTGTTGGGGATGATGTCAAAACATTGATGCTTGCCTTCAATTTCCTGCTTCCGGCACTTCTCTTTTCAGGTTTCATAGATACCCAACCAGCATGCGGCAGATTACGAATTGCATGGGGAATGCTATCACGAGAATCGACCGATCTAAACGAAAAGAACGAATTTCGAATGAATGCTACCAAAGTGCCGCATCGCAAACCTAGTGTCATCGATAGTTCCATCTCGTCGGCGTCTTAGTTCATCTAATTCTTCTTTGAGCTCTCTCAACTCCATCCGCAAAGCGTCATTCTCCATTTGCTCATCTACCAGCTCCTTCGTCATGTCCGTCATCATTCGTTCTTTGTCACTGAAGAGCTCGTCTATCTTAGCTAAGAGACGGCGGTTCTCTTGCTGTTGCTGGATCTGCAAAACAAACGTAGATGGAAACACTTCTAGCACTACGACTTCACAAAGAGCAGAAAATTATGCAATGAAATATTTTCCGTGCAAACGTCCTAATAACATAAATTTGCCTCCCCCCTCACACCTAAAAAAAAACTCAGAGATGACTTATATCTGAACACTCACAATTTCTCTATCCTTCTTGAGTAGATCTGATCTAGTTATATGCTGTTTGCCACCTCTCTTGTCAATGACTCGCTTAGCCATCTCTTCTTCCAGTTTCAAAATGACAGCTCTTTTTGACATCTTTTCGAGATCCAGTTTCCTAAACATCAGATCATAATATTCAGACTAAGTTATCAAATGAACCAATGAATTATCACGCACTTTCGAAGATCGGCAATTTCTGCTTCTGCTTCCTCCACTGCAGCAGCTTTTTCGCTCAGATGATTCATTGAGCGAGATAACTCGAGCTCAGATTCGCGCTCGCTGAGAATAGCAATCTGCATGTCTTTTGCTTGAATCTCCTAAAAAGAGTCAGAATTATAATCCTCTTTTCTACAAAAATTTAACCAAAAATAGGGCTGTGTCACTCTCACCTTCTCGTGCCTCGCTACAAGCTGCTTGACCTCTTCCTTGAGCATGGTCTTTTCCTTGTCAAACTCACTCACATTAGTCTCAGCAATCTGACGAGCCAATCGCTCGTTTTCGACCAGGCTTTTGTATTGATCGGCCATTTTCCTATATCATAGAAGGTACGTATCAATGTTGTCAACGAAAAGTGAAAACAGTGATAGAAGACTGTGAATCTAGGACGACCAAAAAAGAGGAAAAGGCATAAAAAGAACTCACTCCCACTCCATGACAGAATTCCTGAGCATCTTCTCGCGATCTTCGGCATGCTCTTGTGTCATTTTGAGCTCGTTTTGGTACAAGCTCTGAGAAATAGTGGAATAGCTCAGAAATTCTAAACCCATGGTACAGCTGGTAACTTACAATGCATTGCTGATCTCTGTTTTGCTCCTCTTGACTGTTGCTTAGCCTGTATTCTAAGCTACAGTTCTCTTGTTTTAGCACTTCGAGACGCACTTCGTAATCATGAAGATCCCTCTTAAGCTTGTTATTTTCCTAAAAAAAATCCATATAACAAGAAATAACATTTCATGAGTAGGAAAACCACAACCTCAATGAGATAACGTTCATTTGATGTGCTTCCAGCAAGTTTCTTAGCAACACTCGTGAGTTCAGCTTGCGCATCGCTCTTCTTTTTGGTCTCTTGGAAGAGCTCACGTCGCAGTTGCTCAATCTGAACAACCTTTCTGCATCAATATGTGAATATCCGTAACATGAGAAGAGACAAAAAATTTGGAAATTATTATTGCCAGAGAACAGCATCCAAATGGCAAATTGGTTACCTGCTTCAGGGATTGCTCAAGCTTCTTCTCCAACTCCATCTCAGATTGCTTAGCAAGCGATAAAGTCTCCTTCAATACAATGATATATAGCCAAAGATAACAGTGACAGGAAAAGAAATGCACAACAAAAAATGTGTTAACTCGCTCCTCACTTGGAAAATTCCATTCTCTTTCCTATCTTCAAGAGCTTTCTTCAACTTCCTGGTGAGTTCGTCTTCCTTTGAGCTTTGATCGGTGATTTTAGACCGTAACGTTTCTATTTCTTTCTTCTGGTCCTAGAAACTTTTGGTTAGCTATGTGTGGTCAAGTTCTGCAAAAGCGATATACCCCTATGGTTATGGCCTGCCGACGACTTGCTTCCTGTTCTTCGGCAAGCTTATTGAGCACTTCTCGAGTTTCTACTTTGGCAGCTGCTTCATCGTCACGCGCCTAAGAAAATGGTTTGATGATATCGCCCTTCAATGCTGAATCATCCACCTTTGACAGTTTCTCTTCTAAACTTCTTACTACTTCTCTTTGTACTCTCAACTCTTGCTCTAATCGACGGTCATTTGCAGAGTCGGTCAACTGCCGTACCCGTTCTTGCATTTGCATCATATCGTTCTCCGAAATTCGCATGCTTTCGGTACATCTAAACAAGGAAAGTCTCGGAAGCGTCCCGATCAAGCTTGCAAGTGTAACCCTACCGTGCTACTTCGTCTTCAAGCTTCCTAATAGTTTCTTCTTTCCTAGATAATTCTTCTAGCTGAGATCGTAATTTCTTTTCCGACTCTGACACTGCCGATTGAGCTGCACTAAGCTTCCGCGTAACTTCCTGGAAAACAAAAGCAAATTCAAACCTCTCAATACTACAATAGAGAGAAAAAGAAAAAGAAATTAAGAGATGGAAAAAGCGGAACATTGGAAATAGACAGTGTGAGACAAAGCTCTTTATCAGAGAAAATTTCTGACCTCATACTCGGTCTCTGATATACCATTCGACTTCGAGGATGAGTTGGAAAGCACGCTGGTAGTGCTAGCAGAAGAAGCAGCTTCTTGTATTTTCAGAATTGGGCTAAGAGAGATGTTGAAATGTTTGGAGTAGATGTTTAAAAAAAAAGAAACAGGAAACATTGAAAGCTCAATTCACCTAAGCTCATTCGAATATGTAAAGCCAATGAAAGGTAACTGATTTCCTATAAAAGTTTTAGGTAACTGAAATGATTCTTGCAACGGTTTCGCTTCGATGTCCTAAACAACTTCACGTACACAATGACAAGCGAAAATTGCTATTCAAATGCACCTCAAAATGTGTGGTATCATCGTCGCCCTTCAACTCGGGTATCACCGGTGGTGTAGCTAAAAAATCCTCACTTGACACACTTTCAAAAAGCACAGTTTCTAAGCTACCATTTCGTAGAGTTTCAAAGGTCCACTCGTCGTTTTTGAAGAATGGATGCTGTCGAATTTCATCAACAGACTTCCCCAGTCGAACATCGGCCGATGACAGGAACTTGCGAATAAGATCCTACAAAATCACATCCAGAAATGAACGATAATGGATTTATATATTACCTTTGCATGCGCAGAAATCGCCGGCTCATCGGGAAAGCGAAGGCTATTTTTGTGATCCATTATATTGGAGTAAGTGGAAACAAGGGCTTCAGCAAAGAATGGCGTCTCTCCAATTAGCATTTCATAGATGAATACTCCAACAGCCCTGCGGGAAACAAGTATAAGTTGCTCAATAAAAAACGTGAAACAGCTCTGAGGTCAACTTACCACCAATCCACCTCCGTGCCAAACTCGGCTTCCTTGCCCTGATTTTGCAGAATCTCAGGTGCAATATAGTCAGGAGTACCAACAGCTAGAAAATGACTTGGGTGACTAACAGATATTTGAGGCGAAATAAAGACCTTTTGATAAGACATACCAGTGGAGCACTTGATAACTCCATTCTTATTCATTTTTACACATGTACCAAAATCAGCGAGCTTTATGTGACCGCTCCGTGAGATCAACATATTGTCTGGTTTAACATCCCTATAACGAGGTGCTATATATGAAAATAAATTGACGAATACTACACGAAAGTAAAAAGGAAAATTACTTAACACTCGAAGTAAGCAGAAAATGATAAATCAAAATTTGGAAGATATCAAAAATCACTGACTAGAGTAAGAAAAAGATAGTAAACTTGAATCTTCAAAAAAATGTACAGAAACTATATGAAAAACTACCTATGAATATAGCCCATTGAATGTAAAGCGGCAAGCGCTTCAACAAGCTCTGCAGCGTAAAAACGTGTCCATTTTTCTGGTACGTCATACCTAAAAGGTAAGAAGGTACTTGAGTGCTCAACCTTTCACAGAGTAACTCACGTTGTCATCAGATTCACGAGATCGCCACCTGGCATGTACTCCATGACCATATATAGATACCTTTGGTCCTGAAAGAAAAGCAGTAAAAAATTACATGTGAATGTAAAAGTTCTGAACATACCTGGAAGGCGTAGTGTAGTCGAACAATCCAGTCGGAGTTCGCATGAGCCATTATATCCCTTTCTTCCCAGAAAAAAGCTGAGTCTGATCGTTTGATCTAAGATAGGATGATTTCATAAATCAAAATTGATTTTCGTTTTTAATTTTTTTCAAAGTAAGTTTGTGGTTTAACATGTAAATGCCAAAAAAGATTTGATTGCTGCTCTATACAAGCGCTTCAATGAAAGGAAACATAGCCTCATTTATCCCAATACAATTATACTTCCGAATCAACAAACCGAAAAAACGTACCATATCATCTTTATTGAGAAGCTTCATTGCATAGACATTATTTGTCAAGGTATGGCGCACCAGCTGCACCTCCCCGAATGCACCTCTGCCTATGACTTTTAGCAGCCGAAAATCTGAGCCTTTTAGCCTCTGCTGGGATACCTGTTCAATGACCTGTTGATCTGAAGCACATCCGTTAGTATTTCGAAAAGAATGTGTATTGTAAACCACTTACATCTATTGATGAAACTGTCTATGCTTTTAATACGCATCAAAGAAGGAATTTTACAATCAATCAAAAGAGCGGTGATGGCATCCTGAAACAGAACATAAAAATAATCCACAATCGTTATCTAAAGAAGAAAAAACTTACCAGTAAACTTTCAACGTTCAATGGGGAGCGTGGGTCGAGCAAATGCCCGACCAATGCCGACTCCACCATGCTCTAGAATGTGTTAGTGATAAATGAACGAAACAATAGAAAATGTCATTTCAAGAAGGCACAACGGTCTATCAACCAGTAACAAAAAAAAAGTCAAAGGAGAGATCAAAAGTTTATCAAGAAGGTATTATGTACAACGCAGGATGTCAATAGCAAACGTAGGTTAAAAAAACCATTGCAACATGATGACAGCTGAAAAGCTTGAAAGAACAACAAAGCTGTGTACTAAGCTTACTATGACTATGTTGTAAGACAACTATTAGAATGCAATGGGTGATCGACCGGTTTGGGCAGATCTTCAAGAACTTTACTATGCACAATGCATTTATGATACCCGTATGCTTATGTTATAATCACTCAGTTCGATTCTGTGTCAGATTGCGAAGAATCATAGACTGATGATCAGGGAATGGATCGTCATTGCTGAGTAGTCCAGCTGAATAGTATGTAAATTGGCTATTGGATCGATCGCTATGATAGCGTTTCTGGAGTTTTCGTCGCATTTGATGCACCTTCACAGCGGCACGAATGTCTCGAACAGTGAACAACATCTCTCCTGAAGAAACGGGATTTGTATCACTTATTAGCAGAAGGACCAAAAAACTAAGTTAATTTAGTTAGTATCTGGGTCAGTGAAAAAAACGAGAGGCAATCACAACAAATTCCAACAACATAAGCAAACCATGTGAGACTGACCGTCATCATCTGAATCACTCTCCTCCAGCAATATTTCTTGCAGCCATTCACGCTCTTTGACGTTTTGAAAGTTGAACAATTTGGAAAGCTACAATAACGAAAGTTGCAAAAACATCTGCTAAAAAGACATAGGCGACCAAATGATACCTTATGCTTCCTTATTTCCTCTGTTGGATATATGCCTTTGGCTGAAAAAATGCTTGGACGTCGACTGTTTGGTCCTCGTCCTTGATGATGAACTAGCGTAGAACCTGGGATCCTAAAGACGAGCGCAGCTATTGATGAAAGCAATGAAAGGAACCTTGTTCAAAAACAAGAAGGATGATATAATGATGGGAAGATCTGTCACAATGCAAAGGCAGAAGAATCTAAAAGTTTGGAACTGCATAAAATCTATGGAATTCTCAATTAGCGCATAGTTCCGCAGTAGGCTCAAGGCCACAAAGCCCGCAACAATTCAAGCGGCTCGAAACTCTCAAGGCCGCGAACTAGAAATTGAGATTTATGGTCAGCACTAATTGAAGCGCTTTAGTGAACCAAATACAATAGTGGATTGATTGATGCAAAATAACACCTTTCAGTGAGACTGCGTAGAAAACGTCCAACGCCAAAAATCTTGCTGCGCATCATCAGTCATGAATAAAAAATTGTGCTGCGACAGAAAACATATGACTATAGAAACGGATGATTCCGATCATTTTTTAAAAAAAGCGTGTGAAATGCTCAGGATGAGAATGGCGCTAAACAGATAGCAAGTTGAGAGTCTGAAAACCAAAAGAGACACTATAGCAGATGATCATTCAAGTAGAACTTAATGTTAACTGAATTAAGTAGAAAATTTTAGACAGATCGAAACACGACATACTTGATGGGCTGAGCGAGAAGTTTCTCAACTTGTGCGATATATTTCGTCAAGTCCAATGCTCGTTCCATTTTCTGCACACGAGCGGACAAAGCAGCGACATCTCTGAAAGGTAGTTATAAGAATTAGGACAGCGAGAACGGACTTCATTGAATGCTTATGGAAGTGAGCATATAGAGAATATGAGCTGTGGCTGGGTATAAAAGAAGTAAATCATCAACTGAGTGATTAGCAAAACTAGAAAATTTTATTTTTTATCTCCGAAAGCGAAATTTTCACAATTATCTACCTTTTGTCATGTGTCCTGGCGACAATTCCTGGGCATGTTAGAGACGACGAAGATGACGGTGCATAATCATAAGCTCCTGACTGCGACATAGCTTTCACCATCTGAACAATTTGTTACGAATGGAAACAGATTGCATAGATTATACAACGAACGAAGATCAAGAATGGATTGTAGACAATCATCAGGTAACGGCAAGTCACCGAACGGGAAAAAATGTAGAGGAATTTTTTGCAGAAGTAAAATGATGATATGGGAAAGATATGCAAGTGGAAAACCAACATGGAATGAGGGTACAGAGGAATGACGGGTCAGTCATCAGCAAAAATGATGGCCAGTTATATTTACTGTACGGCCTGTTCGAAAGAAGGGTTCTAAAAACTGGAAAAGTTGAACAAAGCAGAGCGTGATTTGTCCGTTCGGATCGAACGCTGATCGGACGTCTGTTGAATGAGAGTGTACGTGAGTGCGCCCACCGCGCAAACTGGGCTCCAACTTGAAATTTTTATAGCTCTTGGCACTTATGATGCCTTTCCAATGTTTTTTCTCGCTAGCTATCTCTCTACCATACGCAAAGACTTTAAGGGCTTTTCCTGCCTTTGTTTTGTATTTGAGTTCTTCAAGAACCTTTTTGTACTTTTTTACAACTCATTTCTAATGCAAGTGGATTTGAAACCATTGATCAAACCCCATGAATATCAATTTTCCCCAGTTTTCTACATTTACACTCAATAACTAATTTCGATCTTAGCTACCATGATAGAAATTATTTGAAACTTGATTCCATTGTACTCTACTCCTCTACCTAATTTGCAAATTGCTATTTTTCGAATCGCACTGCTAAAGTCATAGAATATTAGCCGACAAGAAATGGTTAGCCATCATGCGAAATGCCGAATGCGTGCTAAATATTTTCAAGTTTTTTTTTTCGAAAAATGCGATCCGTTCTCAATCTGACTTTGACCAAATCATAATCTTGTTGTTTTCTTCATTTATTAGCCAAGCTGCAGTCAGCCATCTATATTGGCGTAGAGTGTTTCTGCTCTATTTATTTCTTCATTTGCACTTTTATTTTACTTTTAATTGAATTAGCGTTTCTCATAGCAAAACTTTTGACTCGTAAAAGTTGTGCTTTCGCAATCGATGTAGTGAAAGTTCAATGAAACAGCGCTTGCTGCAGCCATTTGTGGCTCGCTCAATGAGCCCCCGAGGCGCATTGGAATCCAGGGTGCAATCGACTTTGTGTGTGACGACTACTGACACCCGCACTGCTGCCTTCCTAATCAGTTTTTGGCTTTTCTCTCCTTTTCAGCAGATCACTGCCTACTGTTTTTCATTGCATCTTGTTTTCCTAACGTTTCCCAGAATCTTTCACAAAAAACGCACTCGCGTCTCCCGGAATTGGTCGCAGGATTTTTAAAATTATTAGGTTGTCCCAGAAGTAAACTCCATTAACAGACTTAGGGTTCGAATAGAGTGGAGCAAGCTCTACAAAAAGACCACCAAAGAGCCACCTAAGTTGTAATCCAATTGAAATTTGGAGCCAAAAATCATTTTTTAGCTACCCTAAAGACCGGATCTCCTTCCAGAAATTTTCACAGACTTCCAACTCGGTCCTTATATAGTAGACACATAGTAGCACCCAAAACTCTATTTGGCTGATTTTTTCAGAAGCTCAAAATTGAGAAACAAAGATGGTCCGAAAATCCAAGATGCTACTTTTTTCGGTTTTTTCGTGTAAAACTTGGTATTTCTCGATTAAGCAATACAGAGGTAAGGTTTTGAGATTATATTTAGTAAGGCTTGTAATATACAATGACATATGTGGCAGGGGCTGGGGGCGGAGTTTGCCATTTTTAGACCATCTTTTTTCCCGCTTTCCATGCGCAAAAGAAAATTCAGCAAAGGCATATTTGAGTGCTATGTGTCCACTGTATAAAGATCAAGTTGGAGGTCCGTAGGGTTCTCTTCCGCAATCCAGTTTTCAGGTCACAAATTTTTTTTTCGATTTTGGCCTCACAGTTTACATGGAATGCGACTTTTGTAGAGCTTGATCTGCTTTATCAAATGGTACCCTAATCTAGTAGGAAAACAAAAAAGCTTGAATTTCTTTGAAAAAGGAATTTACTTTTGGGATAACCTAGTATCTAACATCCATAAAGGGCGAGACGTTTTTTTTGCACATTATTCTTTGAGACAAATCTTTGGCAAAGAAGCGAACATGACGAATCAGGTAGCAACGATTGACGTTATTGTTATCTAAAAGCGCCTGCTACCATTTAAGGAGATTGGAAGATGATCGTAAGCAACATAAAACATTAGATGTGAGGATGAACGAAAACTCCTTACGTACAATCAAGAGTTTTGGGAACTTATATTTGAATCTCTTAGGCCTAAGACATACCTCGCGCGATTCGGCCAAATCGCGACGTTCACGCAACCTGGCTGTTTGCCAGATGTCTCCAAACTAATTGTGCGCGGTTCTTCAATACATAGACTATTAGCTTCTGTTATTTGTTGTAAACAGATTAAGTTCTGCACAAACAAAGCGCTTTGATGATCAGTTACGAACAGTCGCTCCGGCACTAAATCACGCAGCGACTGGAATCGCGTGAGGTATGCCTTAGGCCTTAGGAGCCGGGCATATTTCACGCGATTTCAGTCGCAACGCGATTTGGCAGTTCGCCAGAAGCCTTCAGATCTAACACTAGCAAGCTGCACATGCATTTTGTGTATAACTTATGTGGGTTGATAAAATGCCGTATCTTCTGCACATTTGAAATGTGCTGGCAGTGAGTTATGGAAAGTTGGAATATTGCCAAATCGCGTCGCGACTAAAATCGCGTGAAGTATGCTCGCCCTTTACCCTCCCATTGATAGTTGTGTATAGTACAAGGGCAAGTTAGGAAAAGCAATCATACTTTGGAGCAAGATATCTGCTCTGTAAACGTGACTGAAGTGAGCATGATAATGGCTAATTGAGCAAATTGCTATCATTAGCGGAACGTTCGACACTTGGAATTATAGCTTTTACCTGCACCGAGAGTAACACCTACTAAAAACGATGTTTGAGTGGCCAGCTTCGCTTCCTATCTTAGAACTTCGCGCTCAATTAGCTGACAGAAACCTAACCCACCGCTTAGCTAACGGTAAAACTGGATTTTCTAGTAATTCACGCTAGGCTAAAAGCCATCTATTGACTTTAACATCTTTAACAGCAGCTTAGCAGTTTTACCTGTTTTCTGGAATTGCAGTCCTGATGTGTAAAAATTTAAAATAAACTGAAATGACCTTAAAATAGCTCAAATTTGAGGTGTTCACTGCAGTTTTTATGGATGGGATGCTATGACTTTACTCTTTTTTTGCTATAGATCAAAGCGGAGGTTTTTGGGCTGGCACTGTTTTTTGCTGGAAATAAATAACTACTCAGATAGTTGGAGCGTGCGGCGCACGCGCGTTTATGGTCACGGCAAAGCGCGTGCCTTATTTGTGGGCGTGTCCGGCACTACGCCAAACGCGTACCATCCTAGATATTTGGTGCGTGCGGCGCGCGTATTAATGGCCAACACCGCGACCCGCGCGCTACGTATATGTTCGATCTCGCCACCCGCGCGCCTGATTTTGCAGCACGCCGCGCGCGTGCCTTTATACTCTCCCCATGTGGCCCGCGCGCCTGCAATTATCACACGCTGTAAGCACAAGGGATACCCGCGCAATGTACGACGCAATGGTGAGGCTACCTCATCATTCAAGAGGCTAGATATTACATCGTAGCGTATGAATAGTCGCAGAAGTGGAAGTTGCTTTTTGCTTCCAAGCGTTAGCCCTCGGTAGCATTGCAAGTGGATGCTGGATCTGAATCTTTGGATTCAAATACGAATTCATATTTTTTGGCGTATGAAGAGTGGAATTCATTATCAAGACCTGTGGTATACAGCGCAATGAAAAACTGCAAAAATGCAGCCATCCGCGGACTACCACCAGCGGCGCGGCATCCAATGTCCCGCCACCCGCGCACTGAGTGTTGCGCCACCGTGTGACTGCGCGCGCGCTGCCCGCTCCAACTGTCTGAGTAGCGTTTTCCTTCGTATTTGATCTGGCTTGACACATTCCGCAGAGGCGATGAATCTTTTGTGCAAATCGGAATTTTTGTTTGCTCTTATGAAAGCGCTTCATAACTGATAAACACTATTGACCTTAAAATTTGGGGCTTTTCACGTTCCCCTCCCCCACCTGTTAGGGTAAAATATGACGACGTATAGCTTACGCAACATGTGATTGAAACCCGGATCATGTTTCGTACAGAGGAATGTAAACTGTTATCTTTATCGCCAGTAAAGTGATGCCACCGTTTTGCTAGTTAGCCTATCAGAGGAGATGTTGTTCTTATCTTTTGGTGTTTGCTTAATCAGATCGGGTCATAAGAGCGCGAAAAATTTTTTTTTATAGATATTGACAATATGTAGGATATTTCTTGAGGAAACTCGTTGTATTTTTACAGAGTCACGAACATTTTTTTTTGATGAGTGAAAGTTTATGGCTTGGTGTTTCACAAGCATATCCATTTCCAGTCATTTTTGTTAGTTGGAGCCGTAAGTGGTTATGTATGTTTTCCTTTTTCTAAACAAGGAATTTCATCACGTTTGGTTAGTTTTTCGCTACTATGAAGAAAAAAAAAGCGACAAACGCGATCGGATTGGCTCTGAATCATGGCAAGTCTTCTCGTCATCGTTGTGTATACAAAGTTTTTGCGAAAATCTGGCCTTGTTGGCTGATGTGACGTAAGCAGAAAAGAAGAATTCATAGAAGGTGAGAAGAGCTCTGGTCCCATTGAGCGCGAGATTTTTGGAAAAAATCCGGAGTGGGAAATTTTGGCAGAATGTATCTCAAGAAGTAGTAAATCTACATAGGTAAAGCTTGTAGAATGTGGAAATAGTAAGAATTTTTCGTAGTACAACAATAACAATGCAGAATACAAAGTTAAGTGTGCGGGTGATGACGATGATGAAGGAAGACACACTTGGCTGTTGAGATAATAAGGGACAAGCTGTGAGTGTGTCTCCAAATCCAGTTTCACCTCTCCTCTCCACTTCCAGTTCTCTCCATGTT